AAAACCTTCGAAAAATGCAAAAATAATGTAATTTTBGACACAATGAAAGGGTTTTTTTGACGTAATTTTGCAAAATAATTGCGTTTCTTGTTGTTGTTCTTGTTCGGGAAAGGCAGAAAATATTTAATTATGAATTTTTTCAGCACCTTTAAAATGACTAAAACTGTAATTAGACACCATAGGAAACGTACTAAAACGTTTTTGAAATGCAAAATAGTGTAATTTTTGACCTGTTTTTTAGCTTATTTTTTGCAAAATAAATGTATTCTTGACTGAAAAATATACTAAAATGCTCAAAGAAGGTAACAACAACGGAATTTTGGCCGAAATAGAGGGTTTTTGGGTTTGATAATTCTGCAAAAGAATTTAGTTTCTAACTGAAAAATGTGCTAAAACGCTTAAGAAAAGAAAAAATAATGTAATTTTTGACCTAATTAAACGGTTTTTTGATTTATTTTTGGGGGAATTTTGCACAATAATTGCGTTTGTGTGAAAACTTTCTAAAAATGCAATTTTGGACACACTTAAAGAGTTTTTTAACGTAATTGAGCTAAATTATTGCGTTTCTGACTGAAAATCATCCTAAAACACTCTAAAAAGTCACAAATATTGCATTTTTTGCCGGAAAAATCAATTATTAATTAAATTTTAACAGGTTTTAATTCGGGAAAAGCAAACATGATTAATTATCATTTTTTTAGCATCTTTAAGATGAGTAAAATTTTAATTAGACACTACAAGAAGCGTGCTATAAAATGTTCGGAAAATTCAAAATAGTGTATTTTTTGGGCTTATTTTTTGCAAAATAAATGTGTTCCTGGCTGAAAAATATGCTAAAACGGTCAGAAAAGGTAAAAACAACGGAATTTTTGACCGAAATAGAGCGGTTTTGGGTTTATATTTTAAATAATTTTGCAAAATAATTTAGTTTTTGGTTAAAAAACTTGTCATTTTTTTTAAGTACTTTTGCGTTTTTGGCTGAAAATCATCTTAAAACACTGGGAAAAGTAAAAATATTGAGTTTTTTACCGAAAAAAACAATTGTTAATTAAATTTTAATTTGGGAAGGGGAAAAAATATTACTTAATTATAAATTTCTTTCAGCACCTTTAAAATGATTAAAACTGTAATTAAATACTACAAGAATCGCGCTAAAACGATCGGAAAGAGCATAATAATGTAATTTTTGATTTAATTAGATGTTTTTTGCAAGTAAATACGTTTCTGATTGAAAAACGTGTTAAAACGTTCAAAAAAAGCAAAAACAACGATATTTTTGACCGAAATAGGGGGTTTTTGGGTTTATTTTGCAAATTTTATCGTAATTTTGCAAAACAATTGTGTTTCTGACTGCAAATTATCTTAAAACATTCGAAAAAATCAATTATAATTTAAATTTTAACGGTTTTTAACCCGAGAAAGGCGATAAATGATTAACTCCAATTTTTTTCAGCACATTTAAAATGACCGAAAGCGTAATTAAACACTACAAGAAACAACTACTCTACCAACACGACACCAACGAAAAAAATGACTTCATCGAAACCGAAATAAAACCAAAAATTCGGCGAAAAAGAAAAAACAAAATTTGCAGAGGCCAATTTCGACACGACGCAATGGAATTGATAAAACTGGGGGCACGTAAGTCGCAATATTTCCATGATTCACACTGTAACAAAATATGCAAGAGATAATTAAATTCCAATTCATTTAAAAAATGAACTCGCAACGTGACACAGGTCGTGAAAAAACGGTAATTTATATAAAACTAAAAACTGTTCTTTTTTTTTCAGACCCTTCTCATTCGTTGTGCAAAACGCGCCTGGACAACCCC